CCCCCCCCCCCTTAGCCCGGGTATGGGTCCCTGCTGGACATGCGCCAAATGCTCTTCCGCCATGGGATGGCCTTCTCGCTGCACGGGACGCTGCTGGTGTGCCACAAGTACACCTTCGGCGAGCAGGACGCCCGGCTGGCGGCATTCGCATTCGCCCTGGACCTGGGCCCCCTGCCGGGGACTCTGAGCCTGGCCGAGGAGGGGGCCTTCGCGCACCTGCTGGTGGTGCTGGACGGGATGTGGTGCCTGCGGGTGTATCCCACCGAGCAGCACGTGTCTCACAGGCTGATGCCCTACCTGCCGGGGGTATGGAGCCAGTCCCGGGTACGCGACTCGCCGTGCTTCTTGGGCCCCGCTCGCCCCTCGCACACGCCCGGGGGTATTGCCATGCAGGCCGCCACTGACCGGGGATGCGGGGCCGGACACCGGGCCATGGCCGACGTAGCGAGCCCTCCCGGCGTCCGGCGGCTTTGCCACCTTCACGGGCCGGTTTTTCGCCGGCATCACACCGTCGTGGGATCTGGAGGTGATTTACGGCACGGGCGTCGAGCCGTGGTCACAAACGCTGGACAGCGTGTCGGACTACGTCAAGGACGAGATGGAGTATCTGGATCGGGTGTTCCCCCAGCTTGGGTGCCTGAACGTCCTGGCCCTGGTCAAGGGGACGGAGGTGTACATGCTGCGCGCGCGGCACCCGGTCCAGATCACCGGCGTCCTGGAAAGTGTGCGTGTGGCCCGAGGGCCGGGGCCGCGCCCGGCAGCGAGCCATGTTGTCTCTGACGGTTCTTGCATTTTCCCCCCCTCGCCCCTGGCCCGAAGTCCGATGGCCACGATGTGATCGGCGTCTTCCGGGATCGGCCGTCCTGGCCGACGGTGGCCCTTTTGACGAGGAAGACGCTGGACATCTACCGGAAGTGGTGCGCTCACCGGGCACCGGGCGGCAAGCGCCGGGAGGGGCTAGGAGGGGCGGGGGCGGGGCGGGGGCGGGGCGGGGCGGGGGGGGGGGGGGGGGGGGGGGGGGGGGGGGGGGGAAGCTTCGGGGTGGGGCGGGGTTACCCCGAGGATTGGGTCAGTGGGGGCGCGCAGCCCCAGGGCGGCGGTGGCCCATCGTCATGGGTACATTGGCCTGAAGCCGGTGGAGCGGGCCGCAGCGCGCAGACAGGGTAAGGGATGCAGGGGCTCAGACACCGACCTTGGCAGGGAGTCCCGACCTGGGTAGTCGCTTTTCCGGCCCCGCCCTGCGCTGTACCCTTGTGCATGCGCTTGCTCATGCACGCCGAGGAGAGGGGGCGGCGGGGCTGCCCCCCCCCTGTCAGGGGCTGCCTCCTGGCGGCGAGCGTGCACAAGCGTCGGCAGCAGGCGGGGCGGGGGCGGGGCAGGGCGGGGGCGGGGCAGGGCGGGGCGGGGCGAGCGAGCGCCAGGGCCGAGGGCCGCGCGGGTGTCTTGGCGCGATGCACCGGTGCTGACTCGGCTGGCGGCCGCTCATGATGCCCTCCGGGTCGCGGATGGCACAGGGAGAAGGACTCGTCGGTGAGCTTCGACACGCGGGAGTGCCTGGGCGCCTGGCAGCTGACCGACGGGTCGCTGGTGCTGCAGCTTGACGATGGGTACCTGGACCAGGTGCAGATGTCGCCCTTCCGGCATCGGAGCCGGGTCGTCGCCTGGCGAGGAGCAAAGTGTGCGTCGATGTCGGGGTCTGCCCGGATGCCCCGGGCCCGATGGTGGGGGCGCGGGCGGGCAGCCCCCGGCCAGGCCTCGTGGGGGACATGCGTGCGCCGACTGACATGTGTGCGTGGCCGGGGTGGGATGCGGGAAAAAAAAAAAAGCCAAGCCCATCTGGGTGTGCCCCTGGTCGAGCCTGAGCTGGGTGTCCTACGAGTCGCCCGGGTGCTTTGTCTTCCATGCGGTGGCATTCACCGGTCCGGGGGCGCAGTGCGTGAAGCGGTCCTTCAAGCTGGACGTGTGGGAGTATTACCCAAAGTCGACGACCTTCGGCGTGTCGTTCCTGCTGCACGATCGGACCCTCTATTGTGCCATCATGTACGTCGGCGACCAGCCGCGCGCGGCCGGTGGATGGGGCCCTGTACACTGACACATGGCGGACCCCCTCGTCGGATGTCTCCCTCTTTCTTTCTTTCTCTCCCTCGCTGTGTGCGTGGCTGGCGGTGGCCTGGGTGTGTGTGTGTGTGTGTGTGTGTGTGTGTGTGTGTGTGCGTGTGTCTCCCCGCGGGCGTGCAGGTATGGCGGGCGGATTTTCCTCCTGACGGAGGACATGATTGCCGAGGCCTTTGTGGACTCCATGCGCGGCGATCTCCCCCGGCACGTTGCCTGCCACACGACGACCACCATGTCACGCAGCCAGTTTTCCATGCTCGGCGTCCTGCCGCAGATGGATGGCCCCACCCCGGAGGTGGTGTTTGCCATGGAGCGCCAGCGCCTGCAGTGCCTCAGCGTGGATGTCCTGCCCTTCTCGATGGAGGATGACGCCCGGCTGGAGGTCCTGCTGAGGATGGACTCCCCGTGAGCCCCGGGGCCTGGCCCCCTTTCTCCCCGACGCCGGGCCCGAGGCGCCGGGGCTCGGGGGGGGGGGGGGTCCGCCGCCGGGCGCAGGTGCGCCTGTGCCTGGCATCGGGGGAGGCTCTTTCCTCGCCCCCCGGGCCCCGGTTGGCCTCGTGCCCCCGG